TGTAGTATATATCAAAATTCAATTCTTTTTATGGCTGAGCAATATTCCATTTTATGTATATACCATATGTGTTTAGCCATTCATCTGTCGGTGGACACTTTGGTTGTTTTCACCTTCTGCCTATTGTCCATAACACTCTTATGAACATTGTTGTACAAATAGCTGTGCAAGTCCCTGCTTTAAATTCTTCGGGGTATTTTACCTAGGACTGAAATTGCTGGGTCATATGATAGTTCTATGTTCATCCTTTTAAGAAACTGTCAAAGTGCTTGCTGCAGCAGCTGCATCATTTTCACATTTGTACCAGTAGTGCATGAGGTTCCCAATTTCTCCAATTTATTTTCCTTTTTTTTCTTTTCTTTTCTTTTTAAATAAAATTATAGCTATCCAAGTAGTTGTGAAGTGATATCTCAGTGGGGTTTTGATGTGCATTTCTCTGATGTCTAATGATGTTGAACATTTTTTCATGGGCTTATTGGCCATTTGTGTATCTTTTTTGGAGAAATGTCTATTCAAATATTTTTGCTCATTTTTTGAATTGAGTTATTTATTTGTTGTTGAGATTTTGGTATTCTTTATATATTCTAGATATTAATCTCATCTGATAAATGATTTGCAAATATTTTACTCCCGTTCAGTAGGTTGCATTTTTGCTTTCTTGATAGTATCTTTTGGTGCACAAATGTCCATGAAGCTGATAAAGTCCAATTTATCTTTTTTTTTCCTTTTGTTGCCTGCGCTCTTACAGTTGATTTCAACCTGAATGACACATAGATTTTCAGTGTCTTACAAAAAGCATCCTAGGGTTCTTGATCTGGTTTTCTACTCAGTGTCTATCATCACATAAAGGATTGTCCAAATACCAGAATTTGTGTGTGGCTAAGTGTTCTTTTACATGTAAAGATCTCTGACTAAGCAGCTTTTTTTTGTTGTTTGTTTTTTTGTTTTTGCGGTATGCGGGTCTCTCACTTTGTGGCCTCTCCCGTTGCGGAGCACAGGCTCCAGACGCGCAGGCTCAGCGGCCATGGCTCACGGGCCCAGCCGCTCCGCAGCATGTGGGATCTTCCCGGACCGGGGCACGAACCCGTGTCCCCTGCATCGGCAGGCGGACTCTCAACCACTGTGCCACCAGGGAAGCCCGACTAAGCAGCTTTATTCACAGTCATCCAAAGCTGTAAACAATCCAAATGTCCATCAGTAGTAGAATGGACAAACTGTGGAGCATTGATACAGCAGAGTAAGACACGGCAATAGGAAAAAAAAGAAAGAAAGAAAAATGCAGTCCCACTGCAGATATGAACATGAATGATCTCACTGACATACTGATGAGGAAGAAGCCAGACACTAAAGCACACATACTGTGTGGCTCCATTTATTATGCAGTTAGAGAACAGACAAAACTAATCTATGGTGATGGAAGTCAGATGCATGGTTACCCGGAGTGGGGTATTAACTGGGAAAAGGGAGGGCTGAAGAAGACAAGAAAACCTTCTGGGATGTTGGAAAAATCTATGTCTTGATCTAGGCAGTGGCTACATCGGGTGTGAGCGTGTATAACTCATCAACTTTATACAAGATTCTTGCACTTTACTGTTTGTATGTTATACCTCAATTTAAAAAATTCAATCTCTGGCTAATAGGTTCACAGGGTTCATGTTAGTACATGATCTTGGTGGTGTTTCCCATCAGGACATGGTCTGAATTAACTCTCAGAAATGCTCTGCCTTCTTTGGGGAGCTTAAAAACAATAGCTGATAGAGTATCCGCAGCAAATAGAAGCTCCTTAAGACTGTCACAGAGTCTTAGAAATGTGCTTATGGTAGGAAGTGTTATGTTGAAGATAGAAGGGCAATAAATCATTAGCTCTGGATTCCTGTTATATTCCTAAAATAAAAAGAGGGGCTTCCCTGGTGGCGCAGTGGTTGAGAGTCCGCCTGCCGATGCAGGGGACACGGGTTCATGCCCTGGTCTGGGAAGATCCCACATGCCACGGAGCGGCTGGGCCCGTGAGCCATGGCCGCTGAGCCTGTGCGTCTGGACCCTGTGCTCCACAACGGGCAAGGCCACAACAGTGAGAGGCCCGTGTACCGAAAAAATAAATAAATTAATAAAAATTAAAAAAAATAAAATAAAAAGAGGTTGCCTGGAAAAAATCAGCAAACAACCAAGCAGGATGCTTTGAATGCTATAGTTTTGGGAAACTATGCCCTTGATTATTGCTTGAAGATGTTGCTGAGACACTTTAGATACCAAGAAGCAGGATTGAAAAGGATGATGCAGAATTTTTTAAAAATACAGGTGGAAGTTCAAGCATGCGTCACGTTAACGCGGACTCGGGGGTGAACTTGAGAAGGCAGGAAGGGAGAGCACTTGACTGCAATTTGTTCACTGACTATTCCTTTCAGCAAAGTATCTGAAGATGTGGACACAGCCCTAAAATACATGACGTTTGAAGAAATTAGATTTAAAAAATCATTTAGATGTGGACTCAGATGGCTAGAAATATCAATCATCAATCCATGTCAACAGAGCAGGGACATAGTGAGCCATGACTACAAGGGTGAAGTGTGACAAGCAGGTGGGATGGGCAGGCAGCCCTGGACAGGACCATCACACCTTAGAAGATTAGGCTTTCATTCAAAATTCAGTTAATAATGTGGCCTACCAAAACCAAGATGACATACATACAGTAAGAATGGAGGTATGAGGTTGCATATTTGGTCCAATTCATCTTGTCCTGAGACAAGACGGAAAATAAATCACTAAATAAAAGTGCAATGAAAAAAGAACTATAACTTTCTAAGTGAAAACCTTACCTCAACAATGTGTGTTATTTCAAAAGTCTTCAAGACACAAGGATGTGAGATAGAGCTCATACTTCCCATCAACAGAAATACAACAAAGATGTATGTTATTTAAGGGCTAAAAGGAATCCTCTATGTGCATATTATTGTCTATTTCATGTTTTGCCCTCTGAATATTTAGAAGAGATATTTAAAGATGGGTTAATTTTTAAAGGAATTAGGAATTCAACTTTTAATAAGCAAGCACTGTGTGATAGGTGTGGAAACCTGAAGCACTTTGACATGATTTGAACATGATACGAATATCAGGAAAGCTCCCCCATCTCATCTCTTTAAAAAAAAAACTATTAAAGAATTAGGAATTAACCTTATTTTGGAAAAAAAATTACAGGAGTTCCTTCATATATATCTCAAACACGCAATTTCCAGGGTTAGCAACTCATTGGGTGCTAATATGATCAATAGGGATCAAAATAGCATTGAAATGAGCTTCAATGCTATTAAGACATTCCAAGACATTGTCTAATTTGAGATTGAACCAGCAACAAAAGTTATAGCGTCTATCGCACAAGATCTTTAAAATAGGACAAATCCCCTCCTGTCCCTGAGAGTTTAGGCATTATCTATATTTTGGAGTCAAGGACTCAATGATTTTAAGTACCTCATACACAAGAGCTTTTCTTCGAAATGCTCAACCAACAGACGGCAGAATTAACTATGTTGTTCTTCTGTAGTTTAATACAAATCTATATATGAAGAAGAATAGATATTTTTTAAAGATGAGTGTGTATTTCCCTAGGATTCAGGATATCTTACAAATTTACATGCATATACTCTGGCTCCTTCCCATCTCAAAGTACATTTCTGAGCCTCTTTCCCCAAAACCTATGAAAAGAAAGGACCTCACCTTTGGCTAGTACCTTGGGCTGACCACACACAGTTCAAGAAAGGATAAGGCTCATGAACAAGGATATGAAATAGACCTTTGGACTCTTTCTTCACAGAAATCTCATTAAAACAGGGCAGTCCTTCCAATAAATAGTTTAGAATCAGTATAAACTGCCGTCAGCCTTCCTGTCTCAGTATAACTGCGGAACTTTCACCATTTCCCAAAGAGGTCCTGGGATGGATCAGGCCTGACCTCAAGCCAGATCAGACTTCTCCTGACCTCTGTTCCCTGGGCCCAAATTGTGGTTCCAAAAAGAACTCCAGCCCACACCTTTTTCTCGCATCCTTGGTCACCTCCTCCGTCCATGTGAGAGACTCAGACTTTTGCTTTTAAGTCTATTCTAAAGAGACTACAGCTCATCCCGGGGTTAGATCACACACATAGAAGCAAGGAAGTGAAGGTCCTGATCAACATGTGTATGTGATTTATCTTCCTCTTCCTGCAGGATCATAGGATCAAATACCAGTATAAGTTGTCTCTGAAATGCCAGGAATCTCATGACCCCTTCTCTACCAGCAAAAAGTAATAGCTAATACTTATTAAGCATTTACTACATGCCAGACACTGTTCTAAATACTGTACCTGCATTTATTCATTTATTCATCAAACAGATTTTTATGAGTGACCGCTATTTGCCAGCCACAGTCCTGAGCACTGGGGACATAGCAGTAAATAAACAAAATACTCATCTTCATAGATGGTATAGTCTAGCGGGAGGACAAAAACAATAAACAAAAATAAATAAATTATATAGTATATTAGAAAGTTCTAGGGCCCATAGAGAAAATAATGCAGGTAAGAGGGATAGGGAGTACCAGAGTAGGATGAAGGGCGATTGCTATTTTAAATAGAGTGATCAGGGATCCCACTGGAAAAGTGGCATTGAGCAGAGAAAAGAGTTAATGCAGAAGTCCTAGGGCAGGAGTTTGCCCGGCAGGTTCAAAACGAGCAAGGATGCCCGTGTGGCTGGAGTGGAGTGAACAAGGGGGAGAGTCATGGGAGATGACGCAGAGGAGGAATTGTCAGGGTGGTTGGGAAGATTATGAAAGGACCTTTCGGTTCCTTTACGGGATCTGACCCCTACTCCGAGTGAAAAGGAAAGCCATGGAGTGTCTTGATCTAATTTATGTTTTCACAGAGTCATTGTGTCTACTATGTTGAGAAGAGCCTGCAACAGAGAGTTAAGGGTATAAGCATGGAGACCATGCAGGGGGCATTACAACAATTCATGTGAGAGACTGTCTTACCTTGGGCTCCTTGGAAACAAATCTGAGATGGAGAATTGCATGCAGAAGGCTTTCGGGGTGTGTGCTTGGGAAATACACCTGTAAAGACACAAAGAAGGCAGATAAGGGCAGAGGGAGAAGCCAGCCTGCAAGATGGTGGCAACTGAGGCTTCAGCCACTCCTAGGGGAAGCTCTTGGAGCTGGGATGGCCCTTCAGAGTTGTCCAAAATCACATGGATTTCCCGTGCCTGCTGTAACATAGTACTACAAACACAGTGACTTAAGGCAAGACAAATTTACTATCTCACAGCCTGCCACCCTTCTGGAGGCTCTAGGGGAGAATCCAATTCCAGCAATCCCATCACTCCTACCTCTATTCCTGTTGTCACATCTCCTTCAATGACTGACTTCTCCCCCTCTTTCATTTATAGGGACCCTTGTGATTACACTGGGTCCACCTGAATGATCAGGGTAATCTCCCCATCTGAAAGTCAGTTGATTAGTGACCCGCCTTCCCCCTTGCCATGTAACATTAGTGTATTCACAGTGCTGCCCCTTGGAAGAGTGTGTAAGTTTTGAGTGAAGCAGGTTGTGCTTTCAACAACCAATAACCAGCGGGTGGAGGATGGGCACACTAGTCCTAAAGAGGACATCTGGAAAGAACGGGCACCAAGTAACCACTGCAGAGATGAAGGTGGCCACGACCAGGTGATAGCAGTGAACGTGCTACAACACAATGGGATTCTGGAGATATTTTGAAGTTAAATCCAATAGAATTTGCTGATGCAAGAAGAGGAGTAAGGGATGCTCCATGACTGGGGGACTGAACAATGGGAAGCTAGGACAGCCTTTAGACAGGGAGCACTGAGTCAGTCCTGCCTCATGGAATCCTCATAATTAAGCAAAGTGGCAAGTACTTTTATTAGATGCATAATGCAGCTGAGGAAACCGAGGCACAGAGATGTCAAGTGACAAAGCCAGGATTTGAACTCAGCCAGTCCCACTCAAAACACTCCATGTTTTATCATTTAAGAAGGAATGATGGTAACGCATATATGTGGAACGTAGAAAATGGTACAGATGAACCAGTTTGCAGAGCAGAAATTGAGACACAGAAGTAGAGAACAAATGTACAGACACCAAGGGGGGAAAGCGGTGGGTGGTGGTGGTGTGATGAATTGGGCGATTGGGATTGACATGTATACACTGATGTGTATAAAATGGATGACTAATAAGAAAAAAAAATTAATTAAAACAAAACAAACAAAAAAAAGGAATAATGGGACCCCTTTTCTAAAATATTTGTTTAGGGACCCAGAAATTGAACTTACATCATCTTACAGAATCTTGATCTCTCACCCTGGGCTTAGAACAGTGACTGGCACATAGCAGAATGCTCAAAACTATTTGTGGACTGACTGTGTGAAGATCCAATAGCATTTATAGAACACCTGTATGCAGGCTCTTTAATATCATATCCTTGCCCCAAACTCTTCGATGCTTCCCACCTCTGTATTCATAAGGTCCAAACTCTTAGTTCCAAATCCATGATGTGGCCCAACGCTCATCTCTCACTGAGTCTCAGCCCCTTCCATGCTATTTCATACATCAGCTCCTTTACCATTCTTGCTCTTCTTCAGGTGCTACAGAGCTGTGTTAGCCATGCTCTTCCCAGACCTGCTGGTTTCCCACCTTCCCCTGAACCCACTGTGCTGGTTCTGCTTCCTTGTCATTGGGTAGGACACACTCCACACCTGGTATGCTTCTTTTTTTCCCCAACCTAGCTGAATATTTCTGACCGTCAAAGCTTAAATGGATACTCTTCTACTCCTGAAGTTTTCTGTATAAGTTAGGATTTCGTTCAATTGCTTGTAACAGAAACTTGACTACATTGCTTTAACCATATAAGGGTTTATTTTTTTCTCACACATCAAGAAGTCCAGGACTGCTACAGCTGCTTAAAGAAATCAAGGACCAAGCTGCTTCTAACTTCCTTGTCTGCCATCCTTAGCACTTGGCTTTAGTCCTCATGGTTGTAGGATAGCTGCTCCACTCCAGGTATTGTATTTGAGTCCCAGGGAAAAAGAAAGGGCAAGGACAAGGGCAAAAAGTCAAAGGTGCCTGTCAACTGAATCTGAACCTTTGTATCAGGAAAATAATAGCTTTCCAGGAAGCCCCACCCAGCAGACTTCCTCTGTCATCTCATTGGCCAGAACTTGATTGCACGGCCACCTCTTACTGGGCACATTGTTATCCTAAACAAAACTGGCCTTTGGTTAGAAAGGAAGAGGAAGAGCCTGAAGATAACATAGATAATAGCAGCGTCTGCCATACATTCAGAGCCTGCTCTAGCCTGCCTGAACTTTACCCTTCTCTGAACAACTATTTATTATTGTAATTTGTGTGCAACTGAAGGGTAAAATCTTTGTCTATATCTCCCTAATTGAGTGCTGAGCTTATGAGAAGTGTTCCATTGACTGTTATCACAAATGTAGAGGCAATGTGGCATAATGGTTACTAGCCAGGTGGCCTGGTTTTGAATCCCAGCTCTACCATTTACTATTTATTAGTTTTGCAACCTCGCTTAAGTTGCTTAACCTCTCTGTTCTTCAATTGCCTCATGTATAAAATGGAGGTGACATGGTAATACACAGCTTATACAGCTGTGATAAGGATTAAGTTAATTTTAATAGAGCATTTAGACTAGTAAGCACAATGTAAGTGTCTGTTCAATAAACACATGGTTGCCACCCATGTTAAAATTTTACCAGAATATGGAACACACAGTTCAACAAGTTAGAGCATCATCATGAACTGAAGAGACAGAGTAGTTGAAGCCGGGACTTCTAAAGACACTTCGGATTCATGGTGATCACTGTGGCTAAGACATCAATTAGGAGACTGGGTAGTATGCTGGTCAGAGTTCAGGCTTTAAGGTCAGGCTGCCCAGATTTGGCTGCTAGCTTTCTCCCACTTATTAACTGTGTGTCCTTGGACAAATCACTGAATCTGACTAATTTTGCCTGTGGTGTTGCCATTACATTACTGCAAGAACAAAATAAAATTCTAAATTGTTTATTTTAAAACTTGGCTACATACTAAGTTGATTCTGTGTAAGAAAATGTCCCTCAATGAGAATAATAGAGAAAACTAGGTAAAATCACTAATATCTATTTGTAGAATGAAGGCACAAAATGTGGGAAATATTTTTGTGAAATGTTTTTAATCCTTTTAGGTAAAATATGCATAATTAGCATCAACATAATGTAATAAATTAAATGAGACTAATTAAATGACAAAAGCTATAGTTCAAAATAGTAGTGTGTCAGAACCATACAAGTCTTTGAATATAAGAAGTAATTGCTGGGGCTTCCCTGGTGGTGCAGTGGTTGACAGTCCGTCTGCCGATGCAGAGGACGCGGGCTCGTGCCCCGGTCCGGGAAGATACCACATGCCGCAGAGCAGCTGGGCCCGTGGGCCATGGCCACTGGGCCTGCGCGTCCGGAGCATAGCCACTGGGCCTGCGCGTCCGGAGCCTGTGCTCCGCAACGGGAGAGGCCACAGCGGTGAGAGGCCTGCATACCGCAAAAAAAAAAAAAAAAAAAAAGTAATTGCTGATTCCCAAAATAGACTGCATATTGAGAAACATAAGCTTTTTATCCCTTGCTTTGAAAATAAAAGAATGCTATGAATTTAGCAAGTAAGTCTTTGAAAACAGAAGAAATAACCTCAAAATTTTAAATTCAGTAAAATGTATTTGAACTATCATAGAAATTCAAGAAGCGTCTACCAAGCATCTACTACTATTTGTGTAACATATATATGATAGCCCATTCACTCCTAACTCTCCTATAAGTTGTATATATAACACACACACTTCCAAGAAAACAGAGGCTAAATATCTTAGCCAATAGGATGCAGTGGTGTTTGAACCCCAGTGTTCTAACTTTAGATTTGTGGTTTGTTACATTTCAGAACAATCTCCTGTAATTCAGACTGTCTGAATTAATGTCCATTTCCCATGTTCTCTACCTAAAATCCTCCTCTTAAATAACATGACATATTGTTGTAAACAAAAACAGATGACCTGGAGAGAAGATCAGAACACCTCGATCTCATCCTCCGCTTGTTGCTAACCCTGTGAGAAGTTCTGGAGGCCGACATGTACATGGCTTGGAAACTCGGGCTTTGTACTCCGCTAGTAGGCTGGGCGGAGCCCAGGTCAAGTGGCCCAGAGCCTAGAAATAAAACTGGACCCACAGCCTATTTGACCCTCCTAGTCTAGGCACCACCCAAGCCTCAGCCCCTTCATCCCAGCACTGGGTGGTAGGGCAAAACCAAGCCACGACAATCAGGAATGAGGGCCAAGAAGAAGAAAGCTGTGAGTCTGCGTGGGTACCAATGCCCGGAACAGAGCCGTTCTGGGCAGCCAGTCCCAGCCCTGCCCTTCTGACTTACCCAGACAGAGGGGAAAGACGGAGAGGGAAGAAACAACAGAGATTGATATGAAGCAGCCACAACACCTCTTTCTTCCTTCCCCCTCCGGAGGAAAACCATCCCCAAAGACGGAAGTCTTTCTTAAGCTCCGCCTCCCATGCCCTGAGCCTTCGAAAACGTGGCTCAAGAATATCTCTGCAAGTTGGACAGGAACGTGACCAATCTATAGAAACATCCCTCCTCCTGGGACTGATCTCAGATGGATGAGGGGAGCACCATAAGCTTCTTTACCCTACCAGCAACATATTTTGTTTCATATTTTTGATTAAAAATTTTAGAACTTAATAACCTTATACAGCGTAAAATAATAAAGGTTGGGGGGTTTGTGAAGAGCCTTGGAAATCCCCACCCCCTTTCTGGGGATGTGCCACATTGTCTCCTAATTTTACCCTCACAAGCATACATAATCCGTGTTCCTGAATGAATTTATAATGCAAAACCTTCAAAGGGTAGAGTGTAAATTCCACCTACTTCATTTATACAAAAGGGGAAGATTATTTCCAGTAAGGGATTTTGAAGATATGAATACTAAGAGGGCAGTGCCATTATATGTATGTGAAACAGAAAGTCTCCCAGTATTTAGGAAATGATGCAGTGGACCA